CCGGCCCCGCCGCCCCCCGCGCCCGGTGCGGACACAAGGCACAGCCCTTGGAAAGCAGGACTCGGGCAAGCCGGGGCACTGCCCAACCAAGATTTTATTGTTTTCAGCTAAACTGGGTCCCCAGAGCAGGGGAACTCTCCCTGCATCATGGGAAATCCCATCCAAGGCACAGAAGGCTACACCTAGTTATAAATATATAAACTGCCTTTTAAATTTTTTTTTTTTTCTAACTCCATTTAAATTGCTTAGCTTGAAACTTTCCGTGCTATGGGTTAACCTCTGGCTGAAATTTCCAAGTTCAGGAGATAAAAAGGAAGAGAGATACTGTCTTGCCGCTGCTTGAACTAGAAAAGCCTGGTCATCTGGTGGGAGGCTCGCGGCGGGCTGCTCCCGTCCCGAGGAGGTGCCAAAGGCCGAGCAAGCCCCAAGCCTGCTGCGTTCCTTGTCAGGCTCGGAAGGAGGAGCATCACCGTTCACACCTGCTCAGAAATCAGCTCCCAAACGCTACGGCTTCCCCTGGCCCTCGTGTCTGTCCTGTGCCCGCTCCATCCCTCGCTGCTCTGGACGCGGCAGGACAACGTGGAGCTGCCCGTGCCAGCGGGAGGGGAGGAAACGGCCAGGGCCAGCGTCCCCGTGCAAAGCCTCCGGGCTCACCCGCGTGCGAGAGCTAATGAGCGTAATGATGCAGATTAAAATTCCCCAGAGTAAGTGTGGCGGAGGGAGTTACGCCGGGATAACTATGGTCAGAGAATCCGCCCGCCGAATTCCCCACGGCGCGCGTACCTTAGTTGGACACGTCCCCAAGCTCGCTGGCTCCTCGTCAGCTGCTCTGGATGCACGGCGGTCATCTCCGTTCGAGTGGCCTTCCCGATCGAGCCCACCCTGGCACGCCGCAGAACTGCCAATTTAGGAGCTGACTTTGTTTTCCATCGGGCGTGAGCAGCTAATTCCAGCTATGACCGCAGTCGTTTCATTGAGCGGGCGAACGTGCACGAGATGTATTCCACAACCTATTTTGGGTCGACAATAAACGCTGCGTGCCTGGCTGCGTCGCTCCCCACTGTCTTCGACGCTCGAGAAATAAAACGTGTCTGTCTGCGGGCGCTCCCTGCGTTTGCAGCGGGGGGGCCGATGGCAGCCAGCCGTCCCCGGTGCCAGGCAAGCAGAGCTCGCCGGCGAGGGTTGCCCGGGACGGGGCAGGGCTGCGCTTCTGGCAGGCCTTGGCTTTCCTCAAGGAGCAGTCCTCCTCCTCCCTGCTTGGCTCCTCGTCCTTCATCCACAGAGTAAGAGGTCCTGAGGAAGGGAGCACAAGCCTTGCTTGTCTGGGCTCGGCTCTTGGAGATCCCGAGTGTCCTCTGATGGTGTGGAGCGGTCCGTGACATCCCCTCCTGCTGGGTTTCATCAGGCAGCACGGGCCAGGAGGAGAGCAAGGACGAGGAGGGAGGAGGTGAGGAGCTGCCCTGCGTCTCCCCGAATTCTGCTCCTCGGCATGGATTCAGGGCACCCATGGGGTCTGTCCTTCCTGCAGGGTCCCTCGTTGCCCTGTGCTGCCCAGCTTTTGGTCCCCACTGCGATGCCCAAGCTCTGCGCCATCTCCAGAGGGCACTTTTCCCCTGCCTGGAGAAGAAGCAGGAGCAGAGACGACAACCCCCCCAAGCAATGCTGGGGAAGAGCCGCAGGCAGGAGGTGCGGAAACAGAGAGGAACCTGGAACTGCAGAGATCTTGCCAGGCTCGGAGTCCGGATTCCCACATCTCCTTGGACTTCACAAGATTTGTGGGAAGTTCTACACCAGAAGGTGTGGAGAAGACAAACACCAAAGCAAGACGCTCGGTGAGCCCTTCTGCCCGGCTGCAGCCCGTAAGCCAGGGGTAGCTTTGGTCCCCCTCCTGGGGGAACGTAGCCCCTGTGTGCATCAGGCTCTTAATTAACCTAGACTTAGCAGATGAACAAACAAACCCAACGCTGTCCCTTCATCTGTACTGAGCCGTTCCTAACAACCAGCGCGGACGTGGCGGCATCACTCCTCTTTCAGTCTGTCTTAGAGATGGGTAATGCGGGAATCTCCCAGCGCTGGCTTCGAGCACTGAGCTAGGGAAACCAGATGTATCCCCTTGGCAGGAACCACCACGAAAGAAGAAAAACCCACGTTCAGAGCGTGCTTCCAGGGGTTCTGCTGGACGCGGGGTCTGCACGTGAGGGTGCTCATGGGGATGAGGAGAGCCCCACCAGACCGCGGCCGGTTCCTGCCGTTCCACTGCCCAGGTCACATGGCCGCTGCCATTTCAGGAGTGCGCCTTGAAGGTCCTCGTGCCTGGACAGAGACACGGGCTGGTCCTGCCACTGGGAACGGGAGACGGCACCTTCCTGCTCAGCACTGCCCTGCCGTTGCGAGCCAACGCATGGCTGAGACCTGTCCCGCTGGCTCAGGGTGCTCCTCGAAGCCGGCTCGCTCTCCTGACGTGCATTAAACGTGCTGCAGGAGCGGAGGCAGCTGGTGGGGAGCCTGTGGGGACCCCGCATTGCTTCAGCTGGTGCAACGCCCTCCCGCAGAGCCAAGCCTTTCCTGACCGCGCCTGGGCGTTCCTCCACAAAGGGTGAGCATCTCCTGCCAGCGCCCTGGGGACTCCAGCATCGCTCCTCCGCAGGAGGGTTTGACCAGGAACAGCAGCAAGAGGTTTCCGAATTCGCACGCTGCCACGGGAATGGGGCAGAGGCACCAGGTTCCGGGGACAGGAGCGCTCCTGGGGCCGGGCTCCGTTACAGAATCACACACAGAATGGTTGGGGTTGGCAGGGACCTCTGTGGGTCACCCAGCCCAACCCCCTGCCCAAGCAGGGTCACCCAGAGCAGGCTGCACAGCACCGCGTCCAGGCGGGGCTGGAACATCTCCAGAGAAGGAGACTCCACAGCCTCCCTGGGCAGCCTGGGCCAGGGCTCCGTCCCCCTCCGAGGGAAGAAGTTCTTCCTCATGTTCAG